CAAATCTTCTCTCACTGCTACCCTCGGTTTCTGCTTGTCGTTTTGTATGGCTCTGGGAATTTTTTTGAAAAAATTGATTCACGGATAATTCAAGGCTTCCAGTTTCGAAAGTGAATTGCTCAATTCAGAGACGTGTTTGTTTTGACAGAGAGCTCTTTGCGTACGGATGTGGCCATTGGTCAACGACGACCCGCATCGGAGCGAGGGAATTCTTGTCAATACAGAGACGCACTTTCGTTAGGCATCCCGGCTCATTTGTTACGCTTAAAACACTATAGAACTAAGCTGTGGCATGTGGAAAGCTAAGTGAGATCCCCCGAAGCAATTTAAAACCGGCCTGGAATGAACGATCTTCTTTATGTGGTTGGAAATCAAAAATGCAAGGCGAGGCTTCGTCCGATGGTGTCTTAAACGACGAGCCGCATCATGCAGCAGTATGTAGAAAGGTGGGGAAAGTATTTTTTTCTCCGTAGCAATCGAGATAGAGATGTGGGAATTTAACTCAATGCCTAAATAATTGATTTTTGCTGTAGCTCACCACCGTTGAAAAAGGTTTAAGTTTTTGGCGTGAAGCCGTAAACGAAAGTCCTGTGTGATATTCGTTTTCTTTAGCACATCCATCTTAGCGGACTCCAGTGTTAAACCTTTTAAATTTTTTTCCTTTCTGAAAGAGCTGGCCAACGAGCGTTTTTGTATTATAACCACCCTTTTCAATGACAGTATTTCCGAATAAAGGAATTCTTGCGGTTACCATCTCAGAATTGCGCAAGACAAGAAGATCGAGATGGGTTTCGTTGTAAGGCCTGGGGTTATGAATATTTCGGTGTCCAAGTTACATTCATAGCATAAAAAAGAGTGGAAAACATTTCACAACCTGCAGGTTTCGCAATACCCAGGTCAACTTCTTTTCTCGTTCTGTGATAAATGTCTTCAATTCAGTCTTCGCGTTTATATTGAGCAATAAGCTTAAGCTTAAGTATTTTGACGTATCCGTCAGCGTTCTGCGCATAGACAAGCCTTTTTCGGTTTTCTTCAAGCTCCCAAGTTTATTTCTTCTTAAGGTGTTCAATATAATATGTAAGAAAGAATCTATAGACGTCCGCGGTCAAAATTCAATCTTTACTTTTTCGGTTTGAAATTTGCGTAGCGATACTCGACTCTTCTCTAATAGATGAGAACGTCTCTCCTTGAAAGCTAACAAACCCCTTGATGTCAGATGAAATATACCAACGAGCTATTTATAGCACGGCATCTACCGTGAAACTGAGCGAATGTCTCAGATTAAACCATTTAACGCTTAGCTATGAGCAATTCGAACCACCTTTCACTGCGAAAAACCGATTTGAAACTGAAACTTGCGTTGTATCAGTATCTTTCTCGACGTTTAATTAAAAAATGCTTGCTCGATATTTGGCGATATACATTCCAATAAACTTATTACGCAAGTTAGAACGTTTAAAAATTCCTCAAGCGCAGTATTTTGTCTGTCCTTGCGTTGAAAGTTGCACACTATTTTTTGTAGGATATATCTGATCTCTGTCTACATATTGGAACTGGGATTAATGGTAATAAGTTATTGATGTTCTACCGATCTGTGCTTTGTTGCTTTTGTTTATTAACATAATTAAATCAGCTGAACAGTTTAGATCAATGACAAGATAGCCATTGTTTTTTCATTGTTTAGGCGAAATTAGTTTCAGTGAAATTTCTTAGTTTAATTTGCCCAAGAGCCTTCAGTTCACTGATGCATGACTAACTAGCTGGTTAAATTAATTACCAGGATGAATATTAGATGCTGGAAAAAAGAAAATTGTTTCCTTTGGTGTGCATGAGCCATGGAAACGAAGTTGTTAGTTTGCAAGAGTATTTAATGGTGATGCGAGAATTTTGGAAACCAGTTATAAAGACTATACACACAACTTCTTTGTTAAGTTTTTCCTTGCTTCCTCCACTTTAAGAGGAGTCAAAAATAAAATTTCCAGTTTTAATTTTTTAAAACTTGAATGTAAAATACTTATGTTCTCTGAGGAGGTCAATCACTTCTGTCATACCACTGTACACCCTTATAAGGGAGCTTAAGACAGACGACGGTGACGGCAACGAGCATGGCAAAAAAGCAATAGGTTTAGATTGGCAAAACAACAACTTTGCACGTGCATCATGCTTTTTGGTACATTTCTTAGCCATCGTTGCATGACTACAATGTGAAAGTGCCTCATTTTATGTTTTGTCAAGGACGGGAACACAAGACAACAACTTTCTTTTTCTTTTCCCAAACTTAAGAATTCAAGTCCAAAAACATTTGCGAGCGTTTGTCGAATTAAACAAGATAGAATAAGCGCAATAAAATCTGAGGCTGAGCTAATTCACTTTTAAGTGACGTTTTCATAGCCGTCGCCGTTGTTGCAGGTTCCTGAAAAGGCGTTTCAGTGCATTTTGAGTGACCAGGAAAAGAAATTTTAGCCATGAGAATGATGCCTTGATTTACCCACATTTCCAAACATCAACAAAACAAAAGTGTTGTTAACCAAATTAAAGTGAAATATGGATGGATTTCTAGTCCCACTTATGTTTCTGCAGAGCAAAAAAGATGTCGGTAGTGTACCATGTATGTGACCAATTTTGACGTCAAATAGTTTGTAATATTTCTCTCAATCAATGTACTGTTTTGGCAATAAAACCAAGTAAATACATTGATGATGCAACTCTGGCATGACTTCTATCACAACATTAAGGCCAGCTACATGGGCAGCAATGTCTTTCGACTTTGATCTCGCCACTAAAATTTTAGATTTACCGGTAAGATTTTTATCTGACTGTATTGTTTGAGCGGACATATTGTCCGCTTACCTTTACAACTCCTGCCAGCAACATGACAAATTCCATCACCTGTGAAACTAATAAAATGTCATTTACCAATGCCGCAGCAGCTTTGCATTGTACATCTTTTTATTGGCATGTTATTTTTTTTTCTTTTGTGATTTTTTGGAAAGGCACAGCAGTTATCTGTTCAAATTTGGCTTTAATCAGCTGTCACTTAATATATTACCCTGCAAACGTAGCCATACAGTATTTCCGTCCGATTGTCACTTCTTTCCACTTTAACAGTTGCTTTTTGGGTGCAGAGGAGCTACGACTGGAAATACATCTGTTTTCGCGGGCTTATATCACCAGAGAAGATGTTCAAAAAGGCTGGTGGAATGATATTTTCACTTTTTTGTTGATTTTAGTAGAAATGAGCATGTACAATGGTGCAGTTATCTTTTAGTGACAAGGTGCTTTACAGCCACTGTTTCATCAGGAGCAGGCATTAACCATTAAATGTGCAGTGCAACCATACAAATAACATAAGTAGAAATTAACGTGACTGATTCTAGTGTTCTGAAATTCATGCAATCTTTTATTTATATATCAAGTTAAAAATAAAAAATTAAAAAAACATGCAACCTTCCCAAAACCAATTAAGAGCAGTAGTAATAAATTTAAATTGGATGAAAAATGTTGAAATTGAATGCTGTGGACTTCAACACATTATATCAGCAATTGGTTGTCTGCAAATTTAACTTTGCACCTTCATCAACCTTACCCCCATCTCTTTCATATGAAGGTCCTACCCCCCCATCTCCCCCCCTCCAGCCAAGCTGGGGAATGACTATGGTTAAGAGAATACTGGCATTATAGTGTTTAGATAAAAACCAAAAAGTTGTATTCATTTCAGAAATTTATTCAGTGCTGTCATCAGCAAGAATAAATGCACCAGGCATTGCTTATTTTGCCTTAAGTGGTTTCAGCTTCCCTTATCAAATATAGTTCACCACTTGTAGTCATTGACGTTTTTGAGTTGTAAAGAGATGAATAACCAGATCCTGAGCAATGCTAAAAGTCAGGGCACAGTTCTGTTAAAAACCACTTGTTAACCTTTTAAGCCCAAATATCCACAAACAAATTCTCCAAACTGATCTTTCTACATTTCCTTTAAGAATTAGTTGAGAGAATTTGATAAAAGATCATGGCATTTTATCTTTGGTGATCATTTTATCAATTCTCATAACTTTATCTCTTCATAATGTATGGATATTGTTAGGTGAAAGTTGTTGTTGGTCACCATTGGCACTAATAAAGGGTTAAGTACAGCTGTTAGACTACAGGTTTTCTGGCAGTCTCTCATTGCAATCATTACGTTTCTTCATAGGTTTTCTTTTGAGGGGTCATTAAGTAATAATTACTTACCTTTTATGTACAGCTGTGTTTTGTTTTGTGTCTCCTTTTCATTAAGTATGCACAGATGTGTATGTCCGTGAAAAAATTATAAACAAAAGTTCATTATAATTGTTTTTCATCTCCCAGCTGTACATGTGCTGAACCACATAGTAATAAAATAATTAATCATTAAACCCAAATGTTATGTTTGCTTCATGAGGAAATGTTGGTTTTGTGACTTAATATTTCTTTTTGTAATTTGACATTTTTTGCCACCAGGTTTTTAGTAGTATAAGTACACATGGAACTGATATAGAACTCACTTCAATCAATAGGATTCTTTGAATACACACCTACCATCCTATTCCTCTAGTTCAACTGTGGTAAATGCTTCTGACTAGTTAGTGCAAAATGTTGGATTAGGGAAGGGGTATGTGTGTATTTTACAGGGTTCTCATTAAGTGCAGGTAACCTGTAAAAAAATGGCTACTTGGAATTTTGAGCCTCCTACCTCTGGGGAAAAAGGCTGGGGTGAGAAAGTGAAAGCCTGGACTGAGACTGGGTTAAAAGTGGGATAAGATAACCAAGGGTTAGTGCAAGATTTGAATTCAGATTTGAAAGCTTAAAAAGCATTTCAGTTTTCATTCTTTTTGTCTACAAGTTGATGCTTGGAAGCCCTAAAAATAACAGAGAAAATTATTCGAGAAAATTTTTTGAACACAAGAAAGGGTTAAATTTATCCTCTGGGTTAAGTGCTAATCGGCCTTCGAACAACTGGGCCCTGGAATTGCCTTTAGCACTCAAAACATCTACATGTACTTTTACATCTTATAGGTATTTACTATAAAACTCAATGTGAAAAAAACCTAAATTTACCTGAGTTTTATACCAATCTGCATTCTCACTTAAAAGGGAACACTTTTTCCCGTCCTTTCCTGACTTTGTCAATATATCAAGTTGTATGACCTATGTTAGGTTCTGCTCATAGCCCAGTCAAAATGCTTCACAACAGTGGGCAGGATGGCAAAATCCCAGGGGGCTGGGGTACTCCCTTTAATAGCCCATAAGGGGAGGCTCTGCCTGAGCTAATAGGGGCTTTTTCAGGCTTCAGGTACAGCTGTATACGAAAGAGTAGGGATTTCACTTCTTGAAGTATATTAAAGGGTAGGGAAATGTGTCATTTCGGTCAGTAAAAAGGGTCAAAAGGGAGAACAGATGCACTTTGCGGCTGTGAAAAAGTCAACAAAACGTTCTGGTTTTGTGGTTTATTCAAAATCTAAAGAGAGTGCATTTACAGCAATTAAAGCTATAAGGTGGATGCAAAGTTCTACTTGGTATTTGAAAGGGGTACCATTCGTCAGTAAAAAGTATACGATAGGGGTACCTTTTCTGCCAAAAATGGTAAATAAAGGGGTGAGGGGTCAGACCTCAGGGCTCTAGCCTCCCCGTATTATTTTTTTGTTAGTACCCCCAGTGAGGAGGGAGTGTTGGTGGAGGGGGACAAAATGGTGTGCTGTCAAATCATTTTGACTGGGGCTGCACTTATGGAGGGATTGACAATGCCTAAGGGAAAACCAAACTTTTGCAAATGTGAAACATGAACCATAAATAAACCACATAACGATAAAAAAATTTATAATTTATAATTGTAAAAAAAATGTACAATAGTGTACATGGCATACTGTTTAACTATATAGCTTAAATTGCATAGATCCTCTTAGACCACTGATCCTTTTCAGATTATTTTTACCTTCATAGTTACTTGAAAAACCAGTGTCAAAAGTTGAAGACGTGGTAAATCAAGTCTTTTGTTGGAGGGGCTTAAATGTGTAAATCTCTCAATGACCTTTCAGTTGTGCAAATTTTGGAATTAAAGTTGATCAAATATTTAAAGCCGGGTAATGGCATGTTGTCTTCATAATAGCAATAATTAGGCATTAAAGGTTTTTCATGTGTTTAATCTCTTCAATGTGTTTTGTTTTTGTCGTTGTTGAATTAAAGCGCTGCAGTCTTAAGAGTTAATACACTACTAACAGAGACTGATGTGAGAAGTCTTTTCTTTTTTCACAGATGGAGAAACTTATCCATCAAATGCAGGATGAAAAGACTGGAGTGCCCATTAGAACTGTAAAGAGTTTCATGTCCAGAATTCCTAGTGTTTTTACAGGTGAACAGCAGTTTAAAAATACTAGTAGTTAAACAAAATAATGAATATTTTGTAAATTGGAGTTGTAATTTTCATGGGTTAGAGTGGAACAGAAGAGCATTTGAAATCTGTATGTTTATATATTACAGTCGAACCTCTTATGGCCTGCACCTCTCCACAACGGCCTCCTTTCTACAACAGCCACTTTTTTGGTGGATATTTCATACATTGACTCTTGTTTAAACCTCTCTACAACAACCACTTTCTTGTGCCCAAGGTGGCCATTGTGGAGACTGAGGTTCCTTTGTATATAAGAGCTTAGGAGCTGTTTTGGAATAATGCATGTCTAGGGATCTAACTGAATGCAGCCTTCTTGTAATTCCTACATGTGCGCATGGTCTGTTTTGTTAGGTGAGTTTTACATTACAGCTGTCTTCCTCAAGGATAGTAAAATAAATTAAAGTGGAAAGCATAACCCTTTAAGCCCCGAGATCCACATACAAATTCTCCAGACTGATCTCCATTCATTTCTTTCAAGAATAGTTGAGAGAATTTGGTTTACAATCAAAGCATTCTCCCTTTGATAATCAATTTAGTAATTCTCATAACCTTTACTCTTGTTCACCCGCTGATGTTGTAAGGAGAAAATTGATGTTGGCCACTCTTGTGACCAGGGATAAAGGGGCGAGGATATTGCTGTGTTAGATCAATTCTGTACTGAAGTCATTACTTTAAGTTCCCTTACCCATACACAAAATGCTCTATTAGAAGAAGATATCAAACATGTTTGATCAGGAAGCAATAAGCATAATTATTATAAATTGTACTCACTATCTGTCTTCTCGCTGGCTAACAGCCTACAGCTAATTTTGGAAATCAGGTCAACCTATAGATTAGTCAGTTATCTGCTAGCAAATAACTGACTAATCTGTAGGTTGCGCACACAATGCATGATTTCCAATAACCACATCAATTTAGGTTCCTTGCGACGGTGTGTTTGTCGTTATTTTCTTCAAAACAATGTATAATAAAAATCTTCAATGTTTAATCAAGTTTGGGCTTATAGAATTTAATGTCGCAGTTTTTCAATGACCATGAAATTCAGAATCTGGGTAGCTAGTTAATAATGTTAGTTGTGGCCCTGAAAAAATTTGAAGGAAAAAAAAAACTAATTTTTAAGAAAATGCTTTTGTCGTGAGAAGGACTCTTAAACGCTGACAAATGTCAACAAATAACTAAAACTATAATTTGTATATGTTTACATCACGCGCAGTCTAAAGGCCCTAAAGCTTTTTGCTGACTTGCAAGGACCCATATGTTATTCTCGGTTTTCACATGACGTCACCATAATTCAAACTAAGAAACTACAGCTTCCTCTGAGTTTCTACTTTCGTGTGATATTAGAGCAGCTTAAAACCTTCATACAAACAAATTTTCGTTCAAAAGGGTTCTCTGTTTTGCGATACAGGATGCCTGAATTTCCAGGCTTTTGCGTGACGCGTCATTTAGCTGGCGGCCGGGAAAGCTCTCTTGTGGGTTAAAAACATTACGGATTTTTAGAGATTTTACTCTCTAAACATTCCTTGTATTAGAATAATATTAATCTTTATAAGTTCCTCAAGCAAAGAATTCACGCATAAGTAGCAAAACTCAAAAACAGATGTTTCTGTTGGTTTCCGGCGGCCATATTTGTTCCCCTGAAAGGGATGTCCACAAACATGGCGTCTCCATACAAAGCTTTATAAATTTGGGTAAAACGTTTTTCCGAATATCTTGCATATGAACTGTTGCATAGACTTGATTCTTGGCAAGGCTTTTTGTATATTTATCTTCTTTCATTTCCCAGATTCTAGACTTTCTGTATTAAAAGGTTTCCGTTTTTATTTCTGCTTCCTCACGTGAGTGAAAACCGAGAATAAAGAACTCCAGAATAAAGAGATAAATCTCACAGTTTATTAGATCTCATTGTGTAAAATTTGCTTATCATTTTCACATAAATTATGACCTAAATTTGCAAACCGCTGAATTTCTCGCATTGGGTCTTTGCGATTTTGGTGAAACTCTGTTCAACCCAAGGCACTAATGTGCACTATATGTAGCCGAAAGATTTTCACAAAAAAATGCCAGCAACAGTAGAATTTCGACTCAGACTCCAAAGAGGCGTGGCACTACAACCACGTGACATTTACTCGGAACGGCAAAAATTTTATACTATATTGTAGATTGATCTACATGTTATCCATGCTATATGTTTGACTTACTATCAAAGGAAAGGTGGGGATACCAGAGAGCTTCAAAGTAGGATGGTACCCTCACAAAATAACTGGATCAAGTCACCTTAAAGTCCTGTTACTATATGGACTGGGAATGTGCATTTTTGTACCATCTGTGAAATTGCATTTGTGTAGGTGGTGCTTGAAAATCAAATGTGGTCCTTGAAAAGTCCTTAAAAAGTGGTTGCATTGTTTTGTATGAACCCTGCCATCCTCAAAGACTCAGGGACAGTCAGTTGGGCTGGGAGAAAAGGCACGATGAAAGTACAGTGAAACCTCTATTAAGCGGACACCCTCTATTAAGCAGACACTAGGCGGGGTCCCGAAATTAACGTCTCATATTTCCCTTTATAACGAACCTCTATTCAGCGGACACCTCCATTAAGCGGACGCAGACACTTGAATTAATTATAATTGGCTAATTTCTATTGTTAAAAACCTCTATTAAGCAGACAGCGGACTGAATTGACAATGGTAGTATTGGATTACTTCCTTGAAATATGTTCTGTAGTTGATTAATAAAGATAAATCAATACATTTGGCGGTCAATAAACTGTAGATTAGACGGATATCCGGCAGTATTATTGTCATCCGCGATCAAAGTTCACCTAAAAGTCATGCGCAAAGTACAGCACAGCTTCCTTAGTTTCCTCAACAACATGGAACTTAATCACAATACAAAGTAACCGTTAATGTTAATGTTAATCGTTAACAAACGTTGCACAATTTTTACAAACCTCTATTAAGCGGACACCCTCTATTAAGCAGACACTTGGGAAGGTCCCGAAGGTGTCCGCTTAATAGAGGTTTCACTGTATTCAGGTACGGGCGGAAGAACCCTTGGGTACTGACTCTCACCAGACCATTTCCAAATGGTCGAGCAAATGTTGGCTCCTGATTGGGCACAGAAAATGCTTTGTATTATTGTGCCAAATCGGAACAGCGTCTCCTGAGTTCTTTTCATTAGTTCGTACACGACAGCTTTTGTCTCATCATATTTGTCCGTTTCGTTCACCAACGTTTTGTGTGCAAGAGGAACTTTCATTTCCTACTTTCCTAACCAGAAACAAAGGAACTACCAATGAATCACATAAACGTTTCAGATGGTATCAGCAGGAAAATTTCAACTTGCATCGCGAAAATTTTGTTTGTGACTGATCACAAGGTATCGTAAAATTAATAAAAATTATAGGGAGTTTAAGATGCCATGACTGCAACGACAATGAGAACGTCAAAAAAGCAATAGCTTGACCAAGCAAAACAACAACTTTGCACGTGCATCACATTTTTTTGTACATTCTTTGCTGTCACTGCATGCCATAGCCGTGCAGTGATGGCAAAGAAATGTACAAAAAAGCACGATGCACATGTAGAGTTCTTGTTTTGTCAAATATCTAAACCTATTGCTTTTTTGCCGTTCTTGTTGATGTTGCCTTTATCGTTGCTTAAGCTCCCTATTCATGTTTTGATGGGGCAACTGAATAAAGTTCATTTTCATTTTGCAGGTAGTGAGCTTGTCGACTGGGTCATGGCTAATCTTTCGATTGAAGACAGAGGTAGTAAATTAACCTTGTTCGTGAATACCTTTATTACAAAAAGAAATGAACAGAGACACAAACAAGGACTGGCTAAGAAAACTACATGTTGTAAAAGCAAGGAATAATAATAATATTGCTTCTAGTTTTTGCAACCATATCCTATATTGTTGATAATGTTCTGAAATACTTTGTGGGAGAGCCATTCTTGGTTATGAGGAACTGGCTTAAATTGCAACCTCTTGGAAGAACTTTGACTGCATGCTCAGTGGCAGATCCAGACCTACAGATAAGGGGGACCCGGTGGCCTGGGCCCTTCCGATAGATCTGCCACTGTACTGGGTATGTGTCACTTAGAAGGGTACATGTGTGTGGTACAATGCAAAGTACCCTTGCCACGCCTACCCCTGAAAATTTTACAAATGAACTAAATTAATATCAACAACATTTTAACTGACTGCTTTAATTCGCACACAGGTGCCGCAGTTCATTTGGCGTCTCTTTTGGCAGCTTATGGATATATTTTTTCAATTACTGATCACCATTTAATGGTTAAAGACGATGCTTCATATTACAGATTTCAGGTGTGTTGAACTTTGACTGACGAAAGATCTTTTAAAAATTTTCCAAGAATACTGATTTAACTTTTTTTTTGCTTAAATAATGCATTCTGCCCTAACTATCCTGTTTTTATTTTAGACACCATTCTTTTGGCTATCAAACAATTGGGAACCAGAGAGTGTAGATTATGGTAAGGTATTATAATATACTTAAAGATCACAGCCCACTTCACAACTGAAATAGGTCCTTGGCAGCTTGTAGCCTACAAAGCAGGCGTATTTTGGAGCGGGATCCATGAATTGTTTTCAGGGATGACGTTGTCCTGCCATCTTGTACGTTAATACTACCAGAGAGTTGGGACGAGTCCAGGGCTGCAAATAACGGCCGGTCAACGGACAATGTCCGGCCTGATCGCGGACTTGACCGGTCAAACTCCGGTCTTGCCGGTCATTTTGACCGGTCATTTTTGGATAAAAACACTTTATTTTCCATGCGGTTGTCGCTTAATGCTCTATAACGCTGCAATGATTTCTTTCTTCTTTGGCGTTTTTTGCTGCTTGGCACTAAACCCTTCTAAGAAAAAGAACGCCGCAATAAATTAATTTCATGTCGTCATATCGTAATCTAACGCAGCAAAGTGAATGACAAACTGAGTTGGAAAGTAACGCAACGTTGCAAGTCGTACTGTACTTTCGGCTTTGCTGTAATCAGCTATGTGACCTTCTCTGGGAATTCGAAGGAATTCAGGCAAATCGATCGCAATTCTCAACAGGTCGTCCTGTGTTTCTCCGGGAATAAATGTTAGCCCATCGATTAATAATAATTTCTTTTATGTCGAACATGAATCTCGTTTGCAGACTCGATTCCAGAATGGTCTGATAAAAATTTAAGCTACTCAAGAGGGAAGGTCGTCGTCTATCGCGGCGCTAGATTCTCGTTCTTGTAAACAACTTTATGCAAATTTCTGTTGACATTTGAGCCCTTCGCGATAAAATGTTGCGCGATGACCCAAATTTATTTATTGACTTCTGATCATCAACACGCTGTTTGTGGAACAAACCTCTCGCCAATGCAAATCAACTTCTTTGCCGAAAATATCAACGACGATTCTTCTTTGAGGAAGTGACTTTCGATCACATGCCAGGCAAGGAAAAAGATCAAGTTTCACCGATGTTCATTTCGGAACATCAACGTAAAACAAGCGTGTGCAGATTTTGTAAAATAACCCAATATTTTTGGTTTTTTTTTTCGTAATTTCTAAAGTTTGCTGAACTGTATGTGTATTCCGTTTCCTGAACCTTGGGAGTTTGAAAAGGATTTACGCTCACTTTTTACCTCAAGAGACTTCAGACACCGCCGTGCAATGATACTCAAGGTAGAACGTAACATTAAAACGCGCGAAAACCGCGGAAAGGAACTCTACAACGTGCGAATGCATTTTTCACCAATTTGCTGTCAAAAATGTGAACATGATTGCCAACATAATTGGATATTCCTTAGGCAAAAAAAAAAATATTAGTATTCATTATTTGACCGGCCAGAATCGGGGTTTGTCCGGGCTAAAAAATATTTGGCCGGTCATCATGACCGGCAACCTGCTGTCCGTTATTTGCAGCCCTGGAGTCAAAAAGTGTTTTTAAGGGAGAGGTAGATGGGTTTAAAATAGGGGAGGGGAGGAAAAATACTCTCCTCTCTCTCCTCCCCGCCCCTCCCTCTTAGTCTTTTTCGTTGCTTTTCAAGATGGCGGCCACGATCAATGTACCTCCGAGTTTTCGTTAAAAAATGCCTGCTCTGCAGGCTAGGCAGCTTGGGATCTGCCGAACATGCCAAAATAACTATTAATAATTTTATTATGGTATACAACCCTAAATATACCAGAGATCAGTATCATCATCATTATTATTAGATTTGTTTTGGCGAGGAGACCTCAAGAAACCACCTCAGGCTTATAACAGAGGCCACCTCAAATACTAATATATTTACAAGTAAAAGAAGTGCTGTGGGTGTGCTGTTTGAAAAAAATTGCTGGACCACATGCCTTGTGGCTCAGCAATTTTTTCCATATACTCCACCCTTATAATTTCGCATTTTAATAGATATTCCAGCACCCATAAAATCGTATGTGTCTTTCACTTTAAAGTTGGCTTTCTAGCAGATTTCTGCATGCTCTTTGATTTCTATTTGTGGTATTGTTGTATTCCATAATTGTTGCATAAGCAGATCATGTGACTACAAGCTGCATAGTCTATATTGTTCTCTTAAGAGCACTATTATTGTAAATTACATTAAGCAACTCCGTTTGTTTAACTTAATTGTGTCATCAAACTTGGTGGCCAATCTGCTTATTTGAGATACTTGTCATAAATAAGCCAGTACAGTGAAGAAATGAGGTCACAGCAGCAGATTAATAAATGATTTTAAGTGGCCCTGCTTTTAGCCTATATTTTGGCTCCTGTAGCATCAATAGTACATGTAGTCAAAGGTATGTTTTAAAATATTTTACCTACATCGATCACCACAATCATTCTTTTTGATAAACTCTGTTTTTTTAATTTCTAGCGGTCTATTTGTGTAAAAGAACTATGCAAAATAAATCAAGATTAGAATTGGATGACTATGAAGCGGTGAGTGAGACGGAAATTAATCTAGTATACAAGTTCTGTTCTTGTCATTTTTTGTATTTACATGTAGTGTTTTTCTTTAATTGTTGTTATTTTTCTTTCGTTATAAGCAGCGTGCAAAGAAAGTTGTGTCCGATAGCCTGGGACTAGTGGATTTTGCTTTTGGGCTAGTGAATTCTGGTCTTAATTTGCCTGATGGGCAAATAAATCTTGGGGGAAACTCACATACAGAAGAACTGTAATCAATCCTGCTCATCAAAAAAGTTTTTTCGGGCGAATCAAAATGACTCTTGGGCTAGTACATGCTAGCTGCAACTTGCCTGAATGGCAAGCTGTAAAACTGACTTTCTTTGCGCCCTGATGAGGCTCTTAATATTGACTTCCTTTCATTTGCAGGAAAATCTAGCCAAGCTACAAAGAACGCTGTCCAGGAAATGGGAATTTATATTCATGCAAGCCGAGGCACAAGCAAGGTGACTATTTAACCCTATAAGCCCCAAAAGATCTGCATACAAATTCTCCAGACTGATCTCCACCCATTTCTTTTAAGAACAGTTGAGAGAATTTGGTTTAAGATCAAAGCACTCTCCCTTTGGTAATCAATTGAGTAATTCTCATAACCTTTACTCTTGATGATCCGTTGATGTTGTTAGGAGAAAATTGATGTTGGTCACTCTTGGGACCTGAAGGGTTAACAATTATTCCACGAGTACCTGTTGGATTTGAGATGGTATAGAGCCAATGAGGCACGTAGCGCTGAGTTGGCTACAATCTTCTCATATCCAACAAGTGCAAGTGGAATAATTAGGGAACTTACGAACCACGACGACGACTTTGTCGACAACGATCGGAAGTGAGTTACAGTTTACTGCGCAAGCGTGACCAGTAAATTTCATCATTGTGGTGTCATCGACGACGCCATGAAACAAAGTAGAATCACTTCATCCTGCAATCCACAAGTTCTGTAGCTATAAATTAACTGTTTTAAGCGATTTTTGAAGTCCTTTGCATTTTCTTATGCTCGTACATCCAGGTATCGTTCCTTTTTTCTCCTAACAAACGATGTTGATTGAAAATTCGACTAATGAATTGATTTTACTTCGAAGAATGACAACAGCTGTGGAGGCCGAGCGAGCGAACTCGTAAGTGATAAATATATTTGTACGTATTTAGGTAAGGCAAATCATATATCTTAAATATAAAGGAAATAAACTTTATGTGGAAAACAGCTATCACATCAGAATGTCTCTTTTTCCAAATATAAACTCTGACAGACACTCAGACTCGGTCATCTCATTCAGGTTGAAAGTTGAATAATCTCCGTAAGGAAAGCAGGTGTTTTTCCACTCAAAAAGGTCAGACAACACAAAAGTTCTTCATAGTCAATGAAGTTAGATGTACGGCTTAAAAAATAAGATCCTGCATTGTTTTACAAGATGTCGAAAAACTTTGTTGCGAACGAACATCACAGTTTTACATTTGTGTTTACATTCAGTGCCATCGTCGTCGACCTGCCGACCAACTGCATCTTAAGTTTCCTTTTTCCCACCGAAACTGATGTTCCTGTTCCAGTCTTTTCCCAGTTAACAGACGCCGTCGTCGTGAACTTCGTCATGGTTCTTAAGTTCCCTATGGTTTTATTAGAAACGCCCACAAAATTATCG